AATCTCTAACCGATAAATAACTCAATTGTTCGTATGAATGAATAATTTTTTGTTCACTATCATCGATCAATGAGATTATAATTGCAAATAATGTTGATCGAGAATCAGACATTACTCGAAATGCCATAGTTAAACTGACACGTTGATTTTGATTTTGACAATGATCACCATAATAACTAGGCGGACAAAGACATGTATTTGTTGTTGAATTATTTTGCTCATTGAGCCAAACGCGTAATTGAATACCTCGAGAACATGGATTCGTTCTGTTCATCATAAGTTCATATTGCTGTGGACGTCGAATAATTCCTGATGGTATAATACTAGTTGTTTGATTATCCGTATTGAGTTCGGTCAATCCATCTAATGAAAAGTGTTTAATAAATGATTTGCGTTTTTTTGTTGATTCTTCACAGAAAAATTGCTCAACTTCAGAAAGAGAAACTTTGTTATATGAGCAGGACAGTCCATAGATGCCATTTTTCATACAAAATTGTTCATCATCACCATATTCACAGCCGAATTGACCGTTGCATAAATCTTTCTCATGCATGCATCTTTGGGAACTTGAGTTTTTACATAAGAAATTTCCATTATTGTATATATGGTCGTATTTTCGGCATAGTGTTCGTTCATCAGTAGCACCAAGACAATCGATGTTGTTATCATTTATTTTTTCAAGTGGTATACATGTAAATTGATTTGTATCAGGCAACACACATAAATGTTGATTTGATGAACAATTCAATGTTGTAAACGAATAATAACCGGTTTCATCCTCACCCTTCGGACAATTCCAAATGCCATCACATTGAGTATAAATGTTATTACATGGCCATTGTTCACATTCTGTTTCATCTGTCTCATTTTGTTTGTCATTATTTATTGGAATCAGATGAGTTAATCTATCACAAACGTGTTGAAATAAAAGCTTCGTTCTAGCTAAAGCAAAATTTTCATCTTCGTCTTCACAGCGATCGTGATCCGGGTCTGAACAGTCACAGCGTTGATCTTTTACAAACGATTGATAAATATATTTGTTAACTGTCTTGCATTTAAAAAGTTTTTTTAAAACGTCTGTCCAGCCAGCATCCATAATATGCGTTAGATTTTCGTCATCTCCTTTTGGACAGTCCACTCTAGTATCCATCAGACGATTCATTGAGACACATTTTGAAGAGTTGATACAGTGATACATGTTAGATCTATTACACATTTCAGAAGTATAGTTATAAATTAAAAAGTATGGTTGCATTTTATATATGAATTGATACAAAGGAGACAGATATTCTTCTTCCAGTGTATATATCCTCATTAAAAGAACGTCTATGTGGCCAGGACGGAAACAGGTTGCATTATTGAATAAAAAATTTTGACCACAAGGAGCATAGTACTCATAGTCAGAACTATGGTAACATATGAAAGCTGTTGTATAGTATGGAGCCATGGAAATTAACAGATCGGTTTTGTTGAATGCCAGTCGAATGTTATTAGAAAAGACTGGAACAGTAGGGAAATAAAAAACATCTGGACATTCTTTCTCAATGATTTCAATACACTCTTGTTTCACGCATGTCTTATTAAAAAGTGGCTTTTCATACATTGATTGTTTGATTGTAGATCTAAGGGCTGACCAACAATCTTCGGACGTAGAGTTATCTTTAGCCAAAAATAAAGCTTGAAATAAATGGCTTCGACGCATACCAAAATTAACATTTCCGATGGGTAGTGGATGAAATTGATTCTCTTCATTTTTAAATGACGGCTGTTCATAAATGAAGGTCAACGATTCTGGTAGTTTCATAAAATTTTCATCTGTCGTGTCAGCACAATCATTAGTAGTATCATGATCACGATTAAAAGCCATAGGTATACATTGTCCATTCAAACATTGGAATTCATCATCTTGACATACATGAATTTCAATTTTCCAACAATCTTTTTCATCTGCTTTATCATCGATGCAATCAACTTGACCATCACAAATCTCTGTCCAATCCAAACAAGCTGGTGATGGACCACGATTACATTGTAAATGAGTATAACAGTTTACATCAGGATTGAAGTATCGCTCTTCATAGTAATCATTGATCATATCATATAGAGATGAATGTTTTTCATGAACATAGTTAATTTCATATTGACATAACGAACCAAATCTTGGCAATGTACAATTATAGAAAATTTCTCTTTCCAAAGATCGATTATTTGATATTGACATTTGATTTAGATAGAGTTGATAACGCTCTGCCACGTCAATCGGCGCTGACCAAAGATATAATTCATAACTAGTAATATTCTTTTTCGCAAGTTCCGCAAAAGTAAACTTGGAAAAAATATGATTATTTTCTATATGAAATTTCGATGGTAGATCATCCATACAATAAGTTATCAATTCACGGCTAATATGCCATTTATCAAGTGAAGCATGTACATGCAAACAATCGTGTTGCAATACATGATTATTATCACTTACCCAATCTGTGTAATGCAGATTGATTTGCAAATTAGCAAAAGCCAGATGTAAAAGAAAACAACCCAATGGTAATCTCACATAAAACATTACTGCCTGATAAATACAGTGAAAACTGAAAAAATCAAAGGTTATTTATAATATTGATGAACAGAGTTGTGTATTGCTGACACTGACATTGAATAATGCATGTTATTTCTAATAAAAAAAAACTGAAAAGTTATTAATATTTATGGTCTTGATTTTACATCAGTTATGAGACTTATTACATTTTATATTTGATTGATGAAGCAACTTGAAATCTTGCCTTGAGATCAGATATGAACAGAAACTAGACAAGTATTTCATCATTTCTAGCAGTATAGACCTTCTATAACAGTATTGTAATGCTTCATTTTAACTGAAATTTTTCTTTCTACTTAGTACAAAGGTATGAAATGTTACAAAAATTCTCCTCTAGACAATGATGATGAATTCATAATTATGAGTAAAAATCTATTCGTAACATTGCAGGCTTAAGATGATAAGCGATTATTTACAAATGAATTCCTTCCTATAGTCTGTTATTAGTATTGAATTTCAACTACCATTTTTCTTACATATATCAATATGTAAACCGAGAACTTATTCAATAATGTCGATGTATATAATATATGATTTTAGATCATCAACGTACAACAACAGTATTATGTATTTCTTGCTTCATGATCTTCGTTCAGCATATTGTAGAAATATGTTTTTTTTTTCGAATAACAGTAGTAAGAAAGCGATAGTTTAAAACTAATTTAAAATCTTTCTGTTGTCTACTTCAAAGTAATAATCTCAATATATTTATTCTGCAAGAAATAATTTTTCTTAATATTCTTTTCAATACGTCATCCAATAAAACTCCTTAGAATCATACAATAATATTAAAGATTATATTTATTAATTTTCATTTGATTGATGAAATATGAAGTTTGACGTTATTATGCTGCATTCGTCATCAGTTTTATTACATCAGTATTTATTAAGAAATAGTTTGTTCAAATGTTCTATGTATTGGAAGAAAAAAAATTTACAGATTAATCGAGATATTATCATTTTCACTCAATGGATGAAGTGGAAATTCGAAATATATTAGTAAAAATTACCTACTGTTTGATTCAAATACATAGTGATTGTTGTCATGCAAGCGAAAGTAAATGAATGTTAAAGATTATCAGAAATTTTATATTAAAAACAATGTAGTTTTGAAATAAAGGTTTTTAATGATTTTATCTTAGGTTTTCGTCCATCTCTTCGAACAATGGAAATTTTTCGTTTTAGTCGATTCGATGGCCATCTTTAACATATATTGTAAATACGTTTTATTCCTTATTTACAATATAGTGAAGATACAACATGATTTGATACAATCGATAAGTTGAGTATAGTAAAACATGCTTGCTTACATATTGGTTGAATATGTTAAGTTGAAATTGATATATAATTGTTACATTTAAACAATATAGATTTGAATAGACGAGAAATTCGATGTATATTTTGGAAACAGAATATCCAAATCGTTGTTTGTTCAATCTGCACAAAGTATACTAAAAGGAAGACAATTATATGTCTTTGATGATGTCCGCCATTGTATACCAATTGTGGGAAAATCAATAAAGAAAAAAAATTTTAAACAATTTGAAATTAACTGTGTCTTGGAGTTTAATTGTTTCATGCAAATAAAATCGTTAATAAACTATTAACATTAGCTAATAGTGATCTTGTTTGTTTGTGAGACTAGTATCTTTGTGTGTTGTTGGTGTGGGTTAGGAACAGACCAACGCGTAAATCCATACCCACACCCTCAATTTCCAGATGTGGATGTATGTATGGGGTGGTGTGATGTGTAACAGTGCGTGTGGATGGTGTGAGTGTCTTGGCTTGTTGCGCACAGGCATCCGCAGCCACATACTCACACTCACACCAATCCTAGCTGTATGTTGGATTTCTCTCAGAAATGACCTTCTACTTTTTAATCAACGTTTTCCAGAGAAATCATAAAGCGGATTATATGAAGTCAAATTGATAGCATATTATTGATTTCGGAAATTATGCGCTTAATTTGCTATTGATTTGTTCAACATATGGGTTTCAAGTATCTTTTTTTTTCATTTCATTTCTTCTGGATAACATGTGGCAAGATTTATTAAAATTAATTTTGTTCGCATGAATAACGTGTGTATCATATGTGACAACATATTTCATATACCAAATGCATTGGGTATGCTTTGTAAAAAAAAACGGAATGAATAGATCGTTGTGCAAAAGGGTCTTTTGTCCTGCTATGTGACCAACTTTTTCATGCTATCAACCGGTCTTCAAAACAGTATCACTGTGTGAATATATTATGGAAAATGTAGAGAACGATGAGAAAATTTGCTTCTGTCTAGAGATAAGGCTGTGGTGTGGGTGGAAAGAAGACCCAAACCCACATCCCACACTCACAACCATACTTCATACTCACACCCTCTTTATGCTCTCGTGCTTTTATAAACTGAACACATTCTGAATATTCAGTGATTTTCTTTTTAATTTCTTTTTCTTTGTCTACGAGTACTCGGGTAAACCGATATAACAGTCAAGTACTTTTGCAGTAGACCCTGTTATTTTTGTCTGGTTTTTGTAGTTCTCTTTTTCTCTGTTCGGTTGAAAAAACACCACCGCAAATGTCAAGAACTGAATATCGCTTTTATCTTTCGAGTTTTTCGAGTCTGTATTGAATCCAGATTAACGACGCTCAAATTTATTGACTTCGAACCCCGTGGTAGCCTTTGTTCTCATTTCAGAAGCAAAAAATGCTCCTCGTTTTTTTCTCTTTTCCTACGGACTGTCGATGGGATGCCAGAAATTATCAAACGTACCTGTAGATAAAATTTCAACTGGACACACTTTGTTTTGAATTTTTCAAAAATGGTTTGTTCTCAATAGAAACTTCATTAAAACGATAGTAATTCTTTATCAGTAAGTTATGAACCCGAATTTTTTTAATCTTTTTCTTAGTTTCACGGAACCCTGCTCGTAGTCATAACACGTGGTCGAATGACGTCTGACAGTTGGATATATTCCATCGTCTAACTCGATGTCAATTGTTTTTGTGAGTCCTTAATGAATCTAGATTTCAATTATCATAGATATTTGGTTAATGTTTAACTGTACACATCTTCATATTCATCGTAAAAGTGTTCTCTTCAGTTACACATGGCCATCAACATCTTCATCAACAAATTTAATATGTTTATTTCGTGTTAAATTTACTAATGATAAAGATCTTAATCAATGCTTAAAATTATTATGTGATTATTTTACAATAAATGTCTATTCATCAAATGATTTTAATATTTGTATTGAAACAACATAACCAACAATGTTTCATTCATTAATTTTTAATGAAACAAAAGATACATTAGCATTGGAACAATTAACAACAATGAATATTCGAACAGATTATATTCGTCAATACCTCTCAACATGTATCATGGATCCAGCATTTTTTATTTTCGTTAACAAAAATGAACAATATTTGAAAAAACAGATTTGTACATATCGATTTTGGTTAGGAAAGAAATAAAATGAAAAGTTTAGATTTATTATTAAAACTTAAAAGAGTAGATTAACGAACCAATGGCATTTTCATTGACGATCTTTGAATATGAACAGGATTATTCAGCATATTTGATAATGACAATATTCCATTGATGTGATAAAATCGTTTAACAACTATATTCTTTAAAGAATATTAAACTTCATATGATTTTACAAAATAGATATAGAATAATCTATCAAAAAAATCAAAGACAATGAAAATAAATCCAAACTATCCAATTATTTCAGTATTAAGACATTTCCATAATGAATTTTGATGTGATGAGCACTTTTCAACCAGCTCTGCTATTCTATTCCATTGAAAAGTGCTTGTGAGCAACTATTGATTTAATATCGGTGATTATCAGTCTCTCCCTTTTCGCAGTGGTCTGTTTCTCTAAACTAATCAATATGCTGTTTTATAAAAAATACAAAACGATGCATTTAAAGTTAATCCTTGTGTTGAATTAGAATCGGTGTGCTTTCTTGCTTAAAAAAAGAATTTATTAATGAAAGATATTGTGACGTGTCCTTCATAAAACACGTTTCATGATGTTGATGCATGGCGTTAGCAAAAGATGGATTACATTTATATTACCATCGACTATACAAAATCATTTCAGCGCATTAATTACTTAACAGCTACGCACGGCTCAGGCATTCACTCAAACTGTTGCCTATTGATAAGAATATCAGGAGATCAGGACACATCTTGAGACATGCATGTGTGCAAACGCATGACAAAAATGTTTGCCTAGGAAATAGTTTTGCATGCTTTCTTACTCAAATATCGTATGTTGAAGTGAATGGGTGTCATTGGTAGAAAAAGCAGAAGCCGTGAAATATGCCAGAGGACTTGGCGCAACCGTTGGCTCACCCGACAAACACCAACAAGAGGTTCTTATCAGTCATCAGTTCATTATATAAATGATCAGTACATTCCACATTTAGATTTGTTGTCTTAATCATTCTTGCGATCAATATTAGTGTATGCGCTGTGACAATAGCCATTGTCATGCCTATCGTTTTGACTAGAAGGGCCATTACAAGTGGTATGTTATTTTTCAAAACAACAAAATTACATGATAATGCTGTCATTCAACGGAGGAATCATACCATCTCAGCATCTTTTCGACATTAAAAAGTATTTGGATGGCAAAAGATGTGGAAAATATGCGGAGACTCTAGAAAGTACTGAAATTGGTGCTCAGATACTGAAAAGCGTTGAAAGAATTAAGACAAGAACTGACCACAAACTCTTATAAATGAAAATATTGTAGAATCCGTCCTTGTTGCTGTTTTGGTTTATCAATTTCTAAGTGATCGTTGTAGTGATGAGAAGTTATTGCTATTATGAGAGACTCTATAAGAAAAACGAGCTTTCGATCACACAACCATAATATGATCAATTTTTAAATTTCAATCTCGATATGTTCATTCGAAATCTGGTATTGAGATTCCTTAATGGTCAAAGTTTTAGATGAAGCAGGTGCCTTTTGGTGGATATATAACCTTTCGCTTAAAACCGACCTCTTACTGATTTCACAAACACAAACCGTGTTTTCTTCCATCTCGTTTTTTCATTATTTATCGAGCCATTATTTTGAATGACTACTCATTCCAAAGAACGAAAAAACTGAATAAAATGCAGTATTTTCCATTGATCAATTGTGATATTCCGAGTCCATGACGTAAATGAATTAGAAAGTAATTCAAAAAACATAAATTACAAAATAATTCAAAGAAATTGATAAAACAGCAGGTCTACCAGGGTCTAGTAGAATCTACCAGAGTCTGGAGAGTCAGGTAGGGTCTACCAGGGTCATTAGGATCGATCAGTATCTGCAGGGTCTACTAGCATCTAGTAGGATCTACCAAGGTCTACAGAGTCTAGTAGGGCCTACCAGGATTTATAGCGTCTATCAGATTCTAGTAGGGTCTATCCGAATCTATAGAATCTATCAGGGTCTAGTAGGGTCTGCCAGGATCTACCAGGATCTATAGGGTCTAGTAGAATCTACCAGGAATTATAGGGTCTATCAAGATCCAGTAGGGTCTATCAGGATCTATAGAGTCTATCAGGATCTAGTAGGGTCTACTAGGATCTACAGGGTGCATCAGGGTTTAGTAGGATCTACCAGAGTCTGCAGGGACTAGTATGATCTACCACGGTCTGTAGGATCTATCAGGATCTATAGGATCTATAGGATCTATCAGAGTCTAGTAGAATCTACCAGGATCTATACGATCTATCAGGATCTACCAGGAACTATAGGGTCTATCAGGGTCTAGTAGAGCCTACCAAGATCTATGGAATCTATCAGGATCTAGTAGGATCTGCCAGGATCTATAGGATCTATCAGGGTCTGGTAGGATCTACCGGGGTCTGCAGGGTCTAGTAAAGTCTAATAGAGCTTACAGAGTCTAGTAGAGTCTAGTAGAGTCTAATAGGGTCTGCAAGGTCTAGTAGAGTCTAATAAGATCTGCAGGGCATACCAGGGTCTTCCAGGTTCTACAGGGTCTAGTAGAGTCTAATAGGGCCTTCAAGATATGCTAGAGTCTACCAGAGTCTGCAGGATCTAGGAGGATCTGCCAAGATCTAGTAGAATCTACCGGGGTCTTTGAGCGTCTGCTAGGATCTATCAGGGTCTGTCAGGATCTGAATAGAAGAGCCGCAAGACGACTCACATCACGTCCCTCTCGATGTGGTGTGCCATGAAGTCCTGGTAGATCCTGGTGGACACTGGTAGACTCTGCAGACCCTGATACACCCTACTAGAT